CTCCTGATGAAGGCTATCTAGCTGTCTGGTCTCGCGGTCTTCTATCTCGCATGGCGGGGCGCGTCTCGTAGCACATATCGTAGTACCAGTAGCGCGTATGCATAGTAGCACCAACGTCCAGTTGCATGTATGTTTTTGGCTTGGAATATATATCATTTGATTCCCCTGCATCTACCGTGCATAGTACGATCCGGATTGGAAATCAGGAAATATGCTAGCATCATGCACCTTGTCTGCGCGCAGGATGATTGGAAACTTTGGAATATTTGGGGCTTTTGGAATAATCGCGACAGTTGTAAGGGGCTCAACGTCATCCGAGTGATATTATGACGGATTCCAAAGTAGAGATCATTGGGTACCTTACAACCGATTGCAAGTGCATTTTAGCTGGATTATATCACATTGCAAGATCGCGGTCAAATCTGTGATGATGTCATCCTGGGAAAGACAAAGTACCTGGCGGGCGACGTGAGTAGCGATAGCGAAGGGTGATATCGAGACTCACATTGCTGCAAATTCTGTCGTCTGACATCAGGATGTCACCCTTGCCGACCTCTTCCACTTGCCCTATGGCGCGCTCCTTGAGACGCAGGGCATCGACTTCCTCATCTCGGGTCGGTGGCCGAATGTCACCCGGTGAGCAGTTTCCGCGCCATCCCTGCTACGAGTCATCTGACTAAATATGTCAGATGGTGGAAAGACATCTCCTCCCGCGCTTCGTGGAAGAAGATCGATGTCCCGGCGTGAGCGACAGGAGGGAATAGTAACCGAACTTTAGTTTTTCAGCTGGGCTTGTATTGCGGGGTTATGTTCAAATGTGCTGCGACGTCGCTTGAATTCATTATTCTACACACCTTATATATCATTACAGGTATCGAATGTAAAGCCAACGTGTTCTTGTTCTTACAGACAATGACGGGAACAACTGGGATGAGGAGGCGGAGGTGGGTTAACCAGCAATAGCCGCATTTTGATCGCCACAACCTCCTGCGACTGCAGGCGCTTATTTAGCGGTCTACGTCATTTCCTACTGGACTTCACTCAGATTGCTTCGCTGATTCTTCGCTGTACTTGTGTTTCCGAATGGACTGTGCAGTTTATACCGTTAGGTTCTAGGTGAGATGCCAGTGGCTTGAACTTTAAACTCCCGGTATATATGCCTTATACCAGCGAGACACTGACCGTTTTCTCTTCGAGCCCTTCCGACTTCACCCTTTGCAACTACTAAGTACAGCTGCCTCTACCAGTGCCCTCACACCTAAGCTGGACGCTCCAAACGAATATCCTGTCGTGCTTTCTACCCCCGAAGACTTTCTACATGCACATTCCGATCTGCCCGAAGCTATCTTGCGTAAAGCTGGACCTGCGCGATGTCACGGTGGACTCGCTGCCTCTGTTTGTCTATTTACAACGACTCCTTATGGCCCACTCTACTCTACTCAGCTACGCTCGCTCTCGCTCATGCTCCCGCTCGGACCCGGTTCGCCAACTTCAACCCTTGCGCTCCTCGACCCGGCCTCTTCCTGGCCACTTTTACAGGCACTGGGAATAGACTTATCTGTGTTACTCTCAGGCTCGCTTCCCAAAATGCCTACACTACTATCCCTCGCGGTATACGATCATCTGACGAATGGAGTTGACATCGGTGCCTATGCCGTACAACTCCAGCTGGAAGACGCTATCCGAGCCCTTCTGGCCACGGACTACCCGCAGCTGCAAGAGCTACGCTGTACTCCCAGCGTCTTACCTGCCTTTCTGCCCCCACATTCGTCTGGCGATGGCCGTCTCATTCGCAAAGTGGCGCTCAACAGCTGGTCGCCGCAGAACTACTGGACAACGCTTTCCGCCTGGCCGGTCGTGGCCCGAGCGCTCCGGAGCCTCCCGCAATCTGGTGGGCCGGTGCGCGATCTTACCATCGAGGCGGGCGTGTTCCGATGGAGGGACCTCGTAGACGATGGAGGGCCGTACATGGCGAGCTTCAATCGCTTGGTGCTCATCCTCTACGTAGCTCTGGAAGATGTGAGTCTCTCGTTACCCGCTCATTCTCGTCCTAGTCTGACGCTCTAACGATGCAGGAGATTATGCTCGAACGTCTCGGTGAGGAGCTTTTCGCGCATACGCCTCATCTGCACATCTTTCGCATCTCCGACGTCCGCCGCAAGAGGGAGAACGCGAGCTTCCTCTTCGACTTCGCCAAGGACCACGCTAGACAACTCTACTGGCTGAAGACATGGCAAGCACACGCACCCTCCCTACGCACGGTCGCGTTCACGGACGACTTCGCATGGGTGAGAGTGGGAGAGAAGGGCTGGGAGATGTCCCCGCACGTGGCGTGACGCGCGAACAAAGAGCCTGGTCAAAACCCTCTGTCGCTTTCGAGTGGACTCAATGTTCGTATGTCAGGTATCAGAATGACAGTTCAACGCGTTTACAGCGGCTCGTACACACGTGGCCAGTGGCTGTGTCCAACCCATCCAAAGAAGTCGAAGAGACGGACTCGGACGTCCTAGCACCGTACGACCTCCATCGGCTGGCATCTCTCCGGACCACTCATTTCTTTAGACTTCCGGCAGGTTTCCCCCCGAATGGGTGTGTGTGGACGTCATTCCGTGATGAGTGGTGGCGACGGCAGGTCAACATCAACGAGCCCGCGGCACGATATTCAAATGACCACATCGGCCTTCACTCGCCCGGATCGCACGGTCATTACGCGCCAATGGATGTTGCCGTCCTCGGGATCGTGGGCGGGAATGTGGGCTGGCGCAACTTCTGGATGTGTCCATCAGGCTCGCGAACCCACCGGATGAGTGTCCAGGGGGGAATCCCGCGAGGATCTCTTCGAAGTTCGCAGCAAGGGCAGGCGCCCAACGCGCTACCGTCTCGTGGCCTTACGTTAAGACTCCTCGAGCCCCGCACGATGCCCCGCCGCAGTTCCATATAATCTCTGTCTCCCCGAGCAAGAGAGGCTGCACCCGACTAGTCCTCTTTATGCACGCACTCATGGCCGGCCCAAGTACAGCCCACCAAGCCAACGGATGGTACCCGCCGGTCATCAGCCTCGGGAGCGACGATCCTGTCCCGCCACAGCCCGCTCAATGGACCGTCTCGCAAGCGCAGTCTAGCTACCGTGTCGACACCTCCGACCTGGGGAACCGAAGCAAGCTCCGGAAGGTCGAGCGGGCGTGCGACCACTGCCGGAAACGCAAGGCTAAGTGCGACGGCCCGCAGAGAAAGGACCACATATGCAGCTCCTGCGAGGCAAGCGCGAGAACGTGCAAGTATCTGTGGGTGGCCTCATCCTTGTCATTATTTCTGCGCTGACCCGCCGCTGTTAGAGACGATTCGAAGCCACGGGGGATACCGAAGGCGTAAGCCCCTCCCATGTGAATAAACTCAAATTCTAGAGCTTACAGATGTACAGCTACATAGCCGCCCTTGAAGGACGTATAGATGTGGCGGAAAGTCTGCTTAGAAGAGTGAATTGTATGCGTCCCTGTATATCGGACTTCTTACTGACTTGTGCAACATAGCTTCGGCCCGAGCTGGATCTTACCGCTGAACTCGGGCCGTCCCCTGTGCAAACAGTTAGGGAAAACGCAGGATTCTCGCGCCCATCGAGCTCTCAGAAAAAGCAAAAAGGCTCGGGGATCCCGCTCCAGATTGAGGATGCCCACCCGCTCTGCCAATTCACCACGCGCGGAGAGTCCGAGGACCCAGACGAGGTCGAAGTCGCCCTTTTCAAAGGGACGCGGCTCACCTCGCGCGGCCTCGAATCCTCCTCCGCGCTGGCCCCGAACGAGCACCAACTCCGCTTCCAGGGCAAGAGCAGCTCCATCAGCCTCATTTCTACCACCATGGAAATCATCGAGCGCGAGCTGGCCGCGATGCGCATCGCCGATGGTAGCACCCAACCCGCTACGGCATCCGCGCCCCCGATGCCTCTGTTGTCGAAACTCGACCGCCCTGAGTTATATCGCTTGCTCCCGGTGCGTGCTTGATAAGGCCTCAGAAACCGCGTGGGTGTCGACGTATCTGACACATTTGACAATCAGTGGGAAACTCGCCTCGGACGCATTTATGACATCGCTGATGTTCCGGACACCATCCTGTCTGCCCTTCCTCCGGACGACTTGGCAGACGAGCTCATCCGCTTGTTCTTCCTGCACGAACATGTGACCTTTCCAGTCAGTAGACGCCACTGACGGCTCTCTCGCCGCAGCTTAGACATACAGACAAAACTAACAATGCACGCCGTCGCAGCTCCTCCATCGACCGACATTCGAGCGCCAGTGGCGCGATAAACTGCATCTGCGCAGCGTGTGGTTCGCCTGCGTATGCATGGCCGTCTTCGGACTCGCCAGCCGCTGGACTTCTTTTTTGGCGAGCGATACGCAGTCCGCGCCCGAGGGGAGCGGCCCTGACGCACTCACGTCGCTGCCTGGATGGCAATACGTCTCTGTCACGATCAGTGAGTGCGTGCAGAGGCGTTGACAGGCGCAGACTCACAGAATGAATTCGACGCAGTGGCATCCGCAGCGATCACGGAGATGCAAAGCGGCCTGCTGGTCCTTCCGGAGCTCTGTGAGATCCAGACGCTTGTGGTACGTCCCCTCGCGAGTCACGACCCGCCGCCGCCGACTCAGCTTCTTCGACGTCCGCGCAGCTCCTGAGCCAATACCTTCGCGGGACGGTCGCTGCGGACGCGGCCTGGTTCTGGCTGAGCGCAGGGTTGATGAAGACGCAGGACATGGGCCTGCACCGGCGGCAGACGTATGGGCGCACACCGACGGTCGAGGACGAGCTCTGGAAGCGTGCGTACTGGCACCTCGTCGCGCTCGACCGCTTCGGGAGCATGCTCCTCGGCAAGCCATACTACGCCCGCGAGGAAGAGTGCGTCCGTGTTTCGCATGCGTGCTGCTGCTCGGGGTGGACCTAAAGCGTGATGACAGTTTGGACCTCGAGTTGCCGCTCGAGGTGGACGACGAGTACTGGGAGGCCAGTGCGCCTGACGATGCGTTTCACCAGGTCGGAGACAAGCCATCGCTCATCGCTGGCTTCGTTTGCTGGATCAAGTTGAGCCATATTGCTGCCACTGCACTGAGAACACTGGTAAGTCTTGCCCCAACCGATCCCTTAACTCGTCTTATGATGCCCTTAGTACAGTCCGCGGAGGCCGCAAAGCGTATTCGTTTCGCCGGACATGCCATGGAAAGAGGCAGTCGCAGAGCAACTGAACGGGATGTTGCTCAAATGGGTCGACGAGCTGCCCGCGCACCGTACGTCCGTCCGTCTCCTCTCTTGTCCCAGAATTTGATCGTGCGTTGCAGTACGATGGAAACCCGACATGGACGACACGCCGTCCGCCTCCCAGGCCGCCACTCTGTTCACAACGTACCACCTCTTGCAAGCACTGATCCAGCGCCCATTCCTCGCTATCAAGTCACCGTTCCCGTCCACAGCTGCACAAAAGGCACGCGCACTCTATCTGAACGCCTCCCGAGCCAGCGCGGATATCGCGCACGCACAGCTCCGCCGGGGTTCCGGCGACGTCGTCACATTCCTGCACGTTCTGTCCTCTGCCATCGGTATCCTCCTCGTGCAGCTATGGGACCTTATCAGGGTGCATGGCGAGAACGCAGGGGAGAATGACGGGCGCGCTGCGGGAGAGCAGATGTCGGCGCTGCTGGACGAGATCAGCGGCCACCTCGAGCGACTGCAGGAACTCGCGCCGGGATGGGAGCTCGCGCGGACGATGCTGTGAGTTATTTCTTTTGTGGTAGTGGGGTGTCTGGTACGTCTCGGCTGACAATTCTGCACGGCGAGACAGGGACGACATCCAGAAGGCGTTGCCTACCCGCTTCTTTGATATGTCGGTGGAGAGAGCCTCAGTGTCGTTCGAAAGTACCAAGCACATCGACGTCTTCTACAGCTATTGCCGAAATCTTTGGACCGGCGCTCCGAGCTCCGCAACTCGCGAAACGCGCGAAACCGACGCAAACAATTCGAGATGTGTAATAAATTGACCACGCGTGCACAACCACTCCTCGATAGAAAATCACTATGTGCATGCATGGAGTAGACATGGGGCTACACGAATATGTCATTTCTAAGACGAAAAGTGAACAGACCGATGGGCGACGACTTGTGAGGGTGAAATCGTCTTTACGGCACCGAAAGTGCTTGGATTGTCGGTTTGACGAGTGAGGCCTGTATATATCTTCTAGAGGCAACTCTCGACGCAATTTGGAAGCGTTGGGGCGAGAATTGCGACCACCGTAGCCAACATAGGCCGACACGTAGAGGCAGCAAAGTAGGCGCCCGAGACCCAGGAGGAGCCCCGAGGAGCCCTGGCCATAAACTTGCGTGCATCAGCTTTAGTCCCGAAAAAAAGGGCACACGGAGGTGCAGTAGACATGTAAATTCACGACTACCCACTTTTTTAGGACAATGAATTGGATATAACTCGAGATACGACTATATGAACACCTTTGAGTGAATTGGGTTAATCTACGTACAGGTTGGAGGTTTCATCGCAAATCCTCTTGGGACAACGTACTCATGCATGTCCTATACATGCGCTCCACGTTTTGAGACAATCTAAGCCGTTCTCGCTGAGAGGTCGTCCGAACACGCCAGAGCTCCTGCTGTATATCGGGCGCCTAATTCACTCCCGCTACGTGTCGGCCTATGTTGGCCACGGTAGTCGTAATTCGCGCTCTAATGCTTCCAAACTGTGTAGGGGTCTGCCTGGAAGGAACGCGTACTACCACAGCCCCTTTGATTCCAAATTGGAGCACTTTTGGTCCCGTAAAAGCGGGTTTTCCCTCACAAGTCGCCACTCATCGGTCTGGTCGCTTTTCGTCTTAAAGATGACATATTCGTGTAGCCCCATGTCTACTCCATGCATGTACATAGTTATTTTCTATCGAAGAGTGGTTGTGCACGCGTGGTCAATTTATTACACATCTCGAATTGTTTGCGTCGGTTTCGCGCGTTTCGCGAGTTGCGGAGCTCGGAGCGCCGGTCCAAAGATTTCGGCAATAGCTGTACTGCCTACGCAAACGCACCTCCGTATTGTTATCGCTGTCACAGCTGTGATCCGTCTGCACATTTTGTTGTCATAGATGTCGTGCTTGTCCTGCAATGCTATCTTCTGTCGTGGCTTATCGACGCGCGCTCGCGGCCCTGAGACGGGCACCGTGGAACCGACCTCTGAGGAGAAAAGCAAATGGTATAACGCTGGAAAACGACGAAAGCAAACCGACCGGAGGGCCCTGTCATGTCCTGTCCATGACCCACTCCCGCACCGCCTGGCAGCCGCCCATCTCCGGGTGGAGGAGGATCGCCGAGAGCCAGTGCTGGAGTAACCGCCGGCGCCGGTCGAGGAATGCAGGCCGGAACTTCGCAAGGGGTGCCTTTGGGGGCAGAGAGGGGATATACGACTGTTGGCTTGCCTGGGCCGCACATGAGCGAGGTCTTGCGATGAGTGTACAGGAACTTTGTGGGCTTACAGGAAGCGTCGCGCGTAGGCGGGCGTAGAGCTGCGCGAACGCGCTGTACCTCTTGAGCGCGTGTATGCCGAGGCCCTCCTTCGTCGTGATCACGCAGTCGTACACTGCGCGGGTTTCAGCACGCTTCGCGCCAGGGCCGCAGGTGCGGGGAAGGAAGGGTGGGGGATCACTGGTGCACTCACCGACGTACGCGCCGCCCTGCCTGTCCCCGACGCTCGTCCAGCCCGCGATCTCGACGTTGCGCGCGAACGCCTGGCTCTCGCCCGAGTTGTCCCCGAGCCAGATGTCGTGCGAGAAGATCGACGGCGCCTCGTGCGGCGAGAGCGGGGGCGAGTCGTCCTGGTCGAATGGGTAGTCGCCCTCTACGGTGCTCGCGCTCTGCCTCGCAACGTCGGTGAGCTCAGCGGAACAGTCGGAAATGGGCGCGATCGCTCACGTCGACGATGTCGTCGTAGAACTGTGCCTCTTCCTCTATGTTGATCCTGTCCGGGAGCAGAACGAGGAGACCCTTGGTGTTCGCGGGCCCGCGTGCCGGAGAGGGTTCGGAGGAGGAAGATTCGGCAGAATGAGACGAAGACATGCTGCTCCACTAAGCGTTGCAAAGACGAGTGCAGAGAGAAGATAAAGGAGCGACTGGGTGAGAGGTGAGAGATTCAAGAGGTCATCTGCAGTTGGGGGCGCGGGGAGTGGGAATGGAGCGTTTAGGAAAGGGAAGTGCATCCGAAACCTCCCACTGCAGTGACCTCCCTGGCAGTGCACTGCATCCCCGGCTACTGAATAGTATGTTTCCGAATTTGTTGCGATTCCAACACTAACATATGTGGGCTCACAAAAAAGCCCTCCGTCTCTGAGTAGCTAGCAACTCCGTGAATGAGCTACTGAATTATAAACGATGAACAATTTCGAACCACGCTCAACATTAGATAGGGCTCAAATAATAACATCATTACGCAGTACGGATAGCTGGTCGAGCATGTACAGGTCATGTTCCCTTGTGATTAGCGCATAGTCCGCCACCCCAGGTGCCCAGCGGATCCCCTGCGAAAGGTGTAGGGGATACCGAACTGCGCCTGCCCGCCCCGCCCAGTCGAAGTCGATCAACTTCGTGCGCCTCTCTAAGTCCTCGTCTTCCTCCCCGTCTTCGATCATGAGATTCGGTGGGCGCAGATCACCAAAGACGAAGCCTGCCCTGTGGAGATGCTCGACAGCAGTGCGGGCTGCCTGGCGCACGGCCCCGGGCAGCGCGCACGAGCCATACAGCTCGTGCGCGGACTTGCCCTTGATGTACTCAATCACTACCATCTTGCGAGACCCACAGCCGTCCCTCGCGGGGCTGTCCGGCCAGATAGGTCCGCAATACAGCAGGCGCGGAGCTAAGCCCGCCGCTGCAAGACTGCGGTGCGCGTCTTCGCCGTAGCGCTCGGCAAACTTAACCACGAGCCGTCTGCTGCTGTCCTGATTGTCTACGGCGAGGAAGGCGACGTTGGACGGGTCACCTACTTTGAGAGGGCGAATGTAGCGGAAGCTGAGCTTTGTGTTAGTGCCGTCTTTCTCCTCCGTGCATTCGGTCGCCAGTGGACAGAACCGGTTCGTGGGTTTCAGCTCGGGGGCCTCGTAGAATTCCCGCAGCGACGCTATGCCCGCGCGCAGACCCGTGAACACGCGCATGAGGCGGAACGCATGCGCGTCGTCCAGCTCGCGGGCGTGGCCCATCCAGATATAGTCCGTGAGGCGTTGGACGATCGCCCGGGTGGTGAAGATGGCTCCGAGCACGATAACCCAGGGACCGGAGAGAGCAATGATGAAGGATGGTGCACAGCACGCACTCGCCAAGGCCTGTCGAGTGTATGTCAGTCCAGTTTGCAGCGTAGCACAGTATCACGGTGTTCTACCTTCAGATTCTCTTGAGCCCAGTGCTGGATGTACGAGAAGGAGCCCTGCACGGTGGCATCGCCGCTGCTCCCTATCTCCAACTTCTCCTCGCACACACAAAGCAGTGCGGATCCCTTGGGGTCGACTAAGCGACTATGGACGATAACATGGTCTGCCACAGTTCTGTTCTGATTCAAACTCTGCATCACCGGGTAGTCGAGAAGCTGTGTCAGAATTTGCGATGATTCGGGTTGGCGAAGAGCCTCGCTGGTCCCTATCTGTGACGCAGTCTTCATCAGCTTGACTGTCCCATCGATTACATCTTCGGAGGGCTGTCGAGTGTCGTCGCCGGCGATAGCAAGGAAGGTGGCAAAGGCGGAATGGAAGAGCTCGACGGGCATGGTGACGGGGTTGGGAGACAAAGCGTAACGTCCGTCGAGAATGGGTGCCGGACCCGCTTGATATTCTCTGTACTGTCGTGGCTGGGCATTTTTGGACGGCGTTCCAGACTTGCCCAAGCGGAGCGCCTTCTTGAACTCTGGGTCCTCCTACACGTCAGAAAATGTATCGTGATGTCGTTGGAAGGCACCGACCTTTATGGAGCTCGCTAATCACTTCATCCTCTCCTTCTGTTTCAGAGGCTGTGTCCTCGTCGTCTTCCTGCACTTCAAAGCGCTCGAAGATGAGAGCCCTCGTCTTCGCCTGACGACTGCCGGATTGAGAGTTCACATCGATAAGTCCAAGGTCGCTGACAGGTCGATTCCGCCACTCAGCGTCCGAGATGCATACACAGCACTCTCTCAGGTGGTCGAGGTCCGTTTTCACGCGATCACGCAAGTCCTTTCTCCCAGAAGACGTGAGGCGCCAAGTTGGCTGTCAAAGGATGAGGTGGTGTAGGAGATAATGCTCGATAGCGGCGCACCTTCCAAAGACGAAATGTCGCAGTCGCCGGGGCCGCTTGCTGTCCGGCAAGGACCAGGGTCCTTACAAGTACCCCGATCGTGGACGTCGATTCGACAGTATTCATTGTTATGTCATGCATAACCTGCCCGTCGATGACGGTGAAGATCGGGATGACGATTTCCACCATCGTCGCGATACTCAAAGCGCGAATCACTGGGATTCTGGGAGGACGATGGCGGGGAGGGCAAGGAAAGCCTCAGCGAGGACAATGAGGAACGTTTCGGGGTGCCAGTGGATTCGAAACGCGGTAAGCTGATGTTCAATTTGGCCTTGTTTGTACACCCAGCCAAAGCAAACGACGATGCGCGGAATCCTGGCACGAAAGGAGGTTACACTCGGTCCAACTACCGACACGTACAACACCCGTATGTCATATAGGATACACCTTATCGTGCACCGCCCAACAATGGTGCCCGCACCCCGCCGCGCACGGTTGCCCAAGCACCATGTTCGACGATACTACCACGCCCTTCGCGCTGCTCAAGCTCCCCGTCGTGCCCTCGCCCTGCACGCTCGCGCCATCGTCCGAGTCCCCATCGCCCGTGAGCGTCGACCCCGCCCGCGACTGTGCGCGCCCGCGTGGCGGGTTTGCCTCCAAGCTGCGGCCGATGCGGAGGGACGCGAGGCCGGCGGGCTGGGGCGGCGGGGATAGCTCGTCGGCAGGGCGTCGCACGTAGTACGCGCGGATGCAGTCTTGGTGGCCGCCGTGCAGGCATACTGGGCACTGGAACATCAGCGCCCGTACTGGAAGGTGACTGAACGGCGAGTTAGCCTTGGTGATGCGGGGAGCGAAACGCAGCGTCTCACCAGATTGAACACTTGGCGACGTTCTTCTGACAACTGGAGCAGTAGGCATAGCTCCCCGAGGGTTTTCCACCGCGAGTTAAAGGCCCTGCAGGCTGCAGAATGGCTTTGCGACACTTAGCACATGCGGTATACACGGTAGTGTGCAGCTAGAGTGCGTCAGCGCAGTGTCAGCGCAGTGTCAGCGCAGTGTCAGCGCAGTGTCAGGAATTGAAAGGTTGCATCCGTCTCACCGAAGTAGTGGCCGCTACATCCTCAACCGGTGAGAACTTGCGCAGATACGCCGCACAGGTATGTAGGCGCAAGCGACTGAGGATCTCTGCAAGACACTTCAGGCTCTGCTTGATCGTGGCCGCGCGATGCTACTCACCGATATAAGCCTCGACAAAACGAGCAACTCGGGACTTTGAAATCTTGAGCTCTTCGGCGACCACTAGCGCCATCACCGCGCACATGATGATATCGCCCTGCAACTCTTTCAATTTCTCGAACCCAGATAGAATATAGCGAAACCGTACCTGATCAGTGTACTGCTCAAACCGCTCTCGCACCGTTTCCCACCCAAGCTGCCGCATCCTCTCCTCTGCCTCCCGCACCGCCGCTTTCGTTTGGTCGCTGCTCGTCCGACCAGAGCTATGCGGCGTTTGCACACCGGCGCCCGCATCGCCCGTCCCCACCCGCTCCGGGTCCAGCAAGAGATCGGCAGAGCGCGCCTCCGAGCGCGCACGCGCGTGCCGGATCGACGCTGCCCGCCCGCCCGAGAGGTCGCGCACGGTCTCGTCGCGCCACAAGCCGCCGTCCGTGCGTCCCGCGGGCGGCGCTTCAACGGTCACCGTGCGGATTGTACTTGTCGACTCTTGTCGCGCGACTGAGCGGCGTCGGCTGGGCATCTGAGGAGAGGGCGGCGGGGCGGGGATGGGGCTGGACGCGGGCACAGTGGTGGCGACTGCGAGCGAGGCGACGGTCGAGCTCCGGCTCCGCGTGGTGCTGCGCGCCGAGGGGCGGCGAGGCATGCGCACCATCGAGGTCCGGCGAGAGGGGAAGGCAGATGTAGAGGCGGACATGAACGCGAGCGCGTGCTCATCCCCACTTGCGTCGTACCCATACTCGTCCTCCTCGCCCCCAGATGACTCGGGCGTAGACGCAGGCGAGGGTGTGTCCTCGTCCTCCTTCTCATCCTCCGTCCACGTCTGCTTTCCCGCCACACGCGAGAGCGGGCTTGGGTTTGCCGTCGTGCTCCGGTGTAGGAAAGCAGCACTCGCACTTGGGGCGCGCGACGATGAGGATGCCGATGTGGCCGATGTAGGCGTCGGTATCTCGACCTCATGATCGCTGTTCGCCTGCGGTTCGTCGCCACCCTCGGTACCGTTGTGGTCACTCGAGCCCTCGGAGGAGTCTGAGTCATCGAGCGCGCCCTCGCCCACATGCCGTAGACTGTTGCGAATGCTCTCGGCGCTCGGGCTTTCACTGTGTCCGCTGAGCATGCTTTGCGTGCCAAACGAAGGCCGGCGGAAGGAAGAAGGCAAGCGCGGTCGCATAGGAGGAGGGAGGCCTGCGCCAGACTCGCGCCGCGCAAAGATGGACGCGGGAACATTCGGTAGCCCTGTGCTTGGTTTGCGTGGAGACGAAGCCGTGGAGGAGGTCGGGGTGCCCTTGTGCGGCGAACGGTGGCCTGAGGTCGAGCGGTTATACCGCTCGTCGCTGTACTTTGAGCGCGAGCCTGGACTAGTGTCCTTCTGTTTGGTGTATAGCGATGGGTCGACGGTCACCGACCGCTGTGGCAGCGGGGTACCCGATCCGACTGAACTTATCGTCGGTATCGCAGCGGGCGCAGATGTGGAATGAGGAAGTGGCGCTTTAGTGATAGGTAGTGGTGAGAGGGGCGGCGTTGGAGGAGTGACGAGATCGGTCAGGAGCGACTCAAGAAGTAGCCATGTTTGAGCTGCGTCGTGAGCACCGACGTCGAGCGCAACCTACTCAGGGTGAACACTGAGACTGACAGAATCACGCAAAGACCTACTTCGGCATTGTGGGCACATATCAGGCGCTTCTCCTTGCCCTCGTAGATGTAACCACGCGCGAGCTTCTCTATCATGTCCAGGTCTTCTTCAGCGCCTTCGGGGACAAATGCGCCAACGCTCTGCGTCGATGGGTGATACGGCGCGTCCCCCAAGCCCTTGACCGGCGTCTTGTCCTTGACGGCCTCTGGGTCACTGTCCCAAATGTGAGCATGCGTTGAGCACTCGTAAGCTGATGGCATACATGTCGTCGTAAGGCAGCTCCCATCGTTTCGGTCGATCTGCAACGAAGGCGATGGCTCCCGTCGTATTCCATGAGATTGCGGAACGCGGAATCGCATCAAGAGGCTTCCTTGACTGACGCAAGTCCAGCTGGGAAAACGTCCCGGATTGATGCACCGCCCACAGCGAATGCGAGTCCCCAAACTCGATATCTGCGAACCCAGGTTAGATGGGCTTGATAAAGATACAAACTAACCTGATAGCTTACCGGTAACACCGCCCTCTACAGCAGAACCGTTCACTATCCACTTCGCGATGAAACCTCGCCTCACATCCCATATCTCTACGGGGTCGCTCCCATCCGACCTTGTGAGAGACTTTGCCCGGTCGTCTGGAGTTCCGGGAGTCTCAGCTCCACCCAGATGGGTTGATGTGAGACGTGGACTGGACAATGCAGTTGCAAGCCCAGAGCCAAGACCGACGCTGGCAGAGGATGGTCCCGTAGGCAGCGAGCCATGCCCAAAGTCTGTACCTGCGCCAAAGTCCGCATTTGAAACCACCGCGAGTTCGCATTCATATCCCGGGCGCCAGAGCACTCTGCGCACAGGAAATGACGTGTGCAGCGTGTACTTAGGTTGATGAGCTGTGCGCGACCGGGATGTGGGTGTCGTGAGGTCCCAAACCTAGTCACTACTAGTCAGTGTATGCGCACAGAAAGGAATCGAGGGTGCTGACCTTGACGCAGCGGTCCATGCCACCACTGACTATCCATCCTGGACTAGTGTTATCGCTTTCTGCTGTAGAGGCACCACCGGCAATGGGCGCTGACGGGAGAATCTCCTCGATTGCGCCTCCGTACCACGTGCTAGAGGTCGATTGACGCGTCGAAGGGAGCGTAGTCGCAGTCGTGGAGGATGGCGGAATCCAGTCAATGGACAGTATAGGTCCCGAATGGGCGACGGGGATGCGATCGAGCTGCCCGCGTTGACCCATATTCAAGTCCCACCGATATATGCTGCCGTTATCCAGTGCAGCAACGACGTGTCGCGACTGCGATGACACGGGCGAGAAGGCGACCGCTCGGACGGCAGCAGGGTGGTGTATTCGCATTATTGATCTTGTCAGGTCTCGTATGTCCTGTGCACACATTCAAGACTTAAACGTGATGAATGGTCGTTCGAGCGCACCCATATTCGAAGGTCTCCGTCCGCGGAGCCGGTCATGCAGTATGACTGTAGAATAGGGGAGTAGTGCAGCACATGGATTGACCTAGCGTGGTCCCGCGTTCGCCGCTCTGCGCGTGCAAATATTTAGAAGTCTATTGGCAGTATTTGATACGACAGGGGGGTTTTACCGTACTTGGAGAGGCCATTCTTGTTCAGATCCCACATGATGAGCTCGCCGTTCCGCGCACTCGTGAGTATCTTGTTGCTGAAGGCTTGCGCGGGCAGTGAGGACTCGCGCCGAGGGGCTGCAAAAGATCCACTTACCGCCATGACACCACGCAACATCTGTGCTTGAGCTATCGACCTTCAGTCCACTGGAGTCCCAGAAGTTGCGCGATGACTCGATCCGATGTCCGCCTCGTCCGGTCACCGACTTGTGCTCAGTAGGAGTGGAGGACCCGGATATGGATGCTTCCGACATGCGTAGGATGCGGAGGGCTGGAATGGCCGCACATTTTCTCAGCACATAGAGCATAACGTGGAAGGATCCTACTCACATTCCCTGCCCGCGACGACGCACCGCACGCCATCCTCGCTTTTCGCGATAGACCCTCCGCCATGCGAGGTAGTTCGAGGAAGACGTACATGTCGCGTCGGGCCACCATACCCATGCTCGCGGGAGTCGGAATACACGTCTGGCAGAGTCAGGTTGAAAAGAGGAGAGCCGAGGTTGTTGAGTGAAAGGCGGCGGTTTGAACTGGGTAGCATTCAGAGAGGCCTCCAAGTCCAGTAAGGTACGGCGAGTCTCCCAGTATCAAGCGCGGCTGATATACAAAGGTACAGTGCAGGCAGTGGAGAGTTGGATTTACCGAGCCCGTCGTGGTTGTGCAGTTTGAAGATACTGCTTCAGGAGGTGCCTCACAAGGCTGCCGTGTGTGTCCCTCAGAAGAGATGGTACCCCTTCTGGGCTTACTATAGAGGATTTAGGTGCACAAAAGTGAGATGCTGCAAAGATAGCGGGGGAGGGGGACCAGGAGCAGCAGAAGGAGAGGGAGGAAGGAGTGCAAGGTACACGGGCCGCGACGCGACCTGACGCGACGGGTGTCGAGGAGGCCGGCCCGGCATCCCGATGTCGACTTCGGAGAGTCAGCGTCGCTGACCGCAACTTGTAGCGGACGATGCGACGAGGTGAAGGTCGGGAACAGCAATTCGATAGAAGTGAGACTAGACAGAGCCATAGACTACATATACATACACAATAGAAACACGATAGCTGGGGATCGACGACGTCTCTAGAGTTAACGATGTTACCAGTACTGTCCGGTTTATCACACGAGCTTGAATATGTATTTCGCGCCAGAAACGGGGCTAGTTGGCTGGCGGAGACTGCTGGGTGTTGACCGTATTAAAGTATGATTCCCAATCTTGCCACCTAAACACAACCATGAGCGTCAGCGCGGAAGTATGCTGCATGAGGAGGTGCACTTACCCGAAGGACGCCGGGGCAGTCGCCCACATCGTCATGGTGTCGTCCACGAACGCACAGTCAGGAAACCCAAAGTCGGTGCTCCCCGTCTCCGCGCCCTGCGCACCCTGGAAGTCCGACATATCCATCGGGTACGCCCCGCCGCTGTCCACGAGGCCGAACGTGCCGTACGATGGATATGGCGCCGCATTGTTCTGCTGAGAGCCCGAAGCCATAGTCTGGCCTGCGGCGCCGAAGCTCTGTCCCTGGCCGCTGCGGGCGCTGCTGCCCCACGCGGGCGCCGAAGGATCCAATGGCGCGAAGTTGAAACCCGGCATGCTTTGGGCGGATGGAGAGGGTTGCTGTGGTCGTGTTTGTTGCTGCCAATCTGAAAGGAACGAGCCGCCTAGGGGATCTTGGGGCAGGCGGGGGAAGCCCTGGCTTTGTGGTGGCGAGAAGCCGAACATGGGGGCATTGAGGAAGGAGTTGGTCAGGCCGGGAGATGCCGCGTCCGGAGATGTGGGTTGTGACGACAGCCCTGTGGATGGAGAGGAGAGGGATTCCGGGGTCGCGTACAGGCCTGCACCGGACTCTTCTGGGCGGGACATACGGTCGCCCCCGTCATCTCCCTGGGTGCTGGACGGCGATGCAGCAGGATCCGCCCTCCGGTCGGCCTTGTTCGCTTCTTCCCCTGGGCGGGATTCTGACGGCTGTTTCTTGGGCACCTCGACACTCATGAAGTTGAGCAGCATATCCCTGAGAAGAACATCAGTCTGCGGCACGATAGATAGCGGATGAAGAGACGTACTTGAGGCGCTCCGCGACGTTATTGCTGATTAAAAATACAGATTAGCCTCACCGGTGCGCAAGCAGAACGACGTCACACATACTGTTTTTCGATGGACTCCAACATCTGGAGGCACTTCCGAATGTACTCCTCGTCCCGATCTGCGCCAGCATGTCGACCCGACCGCCTCTGCCCCCACATGCTGATGAGCAGCACGAGGCCTGCGTTGAAGACCGGCCCCTGTCCAACGGTTCAGCCCCGCCTAAGCGGTTCACGTCGCGAAAGACTCACCGAATTCCGAGGAAGCGGCGTTCCGATGCGCAAGTACAGCTCGTACAGCACCTGTACGCACGACCGCGCGGCGTTCGTGCAGATGATGAGTGACGCCAGCGAATGAGGCGAGCCGCGCCGCGATGTGATGAAGGAGCGGTGGACGGTGACCTGGACTTGGTAGTAAAGCCCGAACAACGTTGCGGACTGCCCTAGCCATAGCTCGTTCTTGCAGTTCGGATCCCACTTCACTACACGGTACGTCAGTATATGCATTTTAGGTGCAGCAGAGAGGCATGGTACTCACAGTGTTCTGGCACTGTATCCGCCCACCTGTTGAGCTCCGAGTCAAGCTCTGCAACGATGCGATCCTCCCACTGCTGATCTCCATTCACCATCTGTGCTCTAGATTTCCGGATGGAGAACTGAGAAGGACAGACACATCAGCTGGTCGCGGGATTACGAACGTTTGTGTAACGTACGATGGTTCTAGTTGCGTAAGCGATCACCTTGAATAGCCGTATGTAGCAATTCCAGAAAGCCGTCTTCGATGGCATGTCTGCCGGTTGTACGAACGCCTTCTCGGGGTCGTCGTTCTCCCAAAACTCGTCGTCGCATTCTGTGGGGAAGGCGACGTCGTATCTATGGAGGAAAAATATCAATAGTCCGACTAGAAGCGGGGATACATGGGGCTCACTCTTCTTCGTGGATGCATGGTGGACGTCCAAGGCCGTAGCTGCCGCCCCACTCGTACACAAGGAGCAGCCTATATTTCGTCATGAGTACGGTGGACGTGTGATGTGGGCAAAGACTTACCAGAACGCGCGTCGCCATAGTTCGTCTTCTACCGTCGGCTTGGGCTTGTACATGCTTTTGCGATGTGCGCCAACGTCCATGGATTGCCGGAGCCCAAGGCCGATGATGATCCAACTACAGTGAGGCAGGGTCGTGGTCTGCATATAGATAACCGACATCTGTGTAACGCTGCTCAGTTAGTCCATTGCCACAAGGAAGTAAAACTAAAAAGCGTACAGCGCATATCTGGATGTCGTAGACATGTATAGGGGCCAGATGCGACTTGTGCATGTCGTCGACCCTCTGGAAATACTTCCATCCCGCGGACTGCCACGAATCCGTGTTATCGAGCTCGAGCAGGACGCGCCGGTCGTCGCTGTGACGCGCGCCGAGTGCGCATGCTAGGAGAACGGTGGCGCCGAAGCCCGGGACGCGCAGGTGCAACTTGTCCTTTATGTTCCGCAGGAACGTGGGCTCGTGTAGTAGAGGAGTGTAGTCGTTCCAGAGTCGGAAGTAATTCTCCACCAGCGTGTTCATGAGATCCGTAGGTGGAAAACATTCTGGCTCCAGGAGCCGCTGCTGGAGGGGGCGTTCGAGCCACTTCCGTTTAAGGAGGAGAGCGTCAGGAATAGGGGGGTATACGCGCGGCCAGATCGTTGTTACTCACTGGTTGTCGGTCATATTTCTTCCCGGAATTTCGGAGGAAGCTGGTTTCCGCCTCAGTAGATGTTGGCACCGCGTCGCGCAGGTACTCTTGTCGGAAGCCCTCGGTCGCCTGTATGAAAACCCATCCACTCGACTTGCCGTGATAACGAAGACTGGTCGGCTGCATAGAAAGCCTGGACATGCCGTTGATCAGTTCCTTCCGCATGATTTCGTCATGATCGCTGAAGTCGTCTTCGTCACCCCCTGCTTCGGGGCTAGACGGTGTAAGGGCCAGATGGGGTACCCTGAGGGACGAGGTCGATGCTGCGGACGGAGACGGCGCATTTTCAGATCCGTGGTCGAGCGTCTTCAGCACATCACCGTCGGGGTTGAGCTATATGCATGTAAGCGCTTCCGACGGCGATGAACAAAGGGCCTTCCTACCCTATTTAGGAGCTCTTCCATCCGTTGTAGACGGCTTTCCAAGTTCTCTACATAGCTGCAAGTATGCCCGCGATAGATTAGACCTCCGTATAAACATTACTGACGATGTCTCACCTATCAGGATAGCGGGGTTTCTGCGGGATATGGAGGGCAAGTCAGTGCCTCTGAAGCGCGGGTAGGCACAGCGTGCTAGAACTTACATTGAACGGTTCAACGTAGGTGCATTCTGTGCGACGTGATATGCACTTCGAACACCGTTTGTTGGGCATCCGCGGTCCATCGCCTGAACGGTGCACGGTGTGAGTATGATGAGTCAAAATTCGCCCCGCCAAGATAAGCCATCGATGTTCTCATGAGCCGATGGGACGATGTCAGGAAGAGCCACCCCAATGAATAGTCCCCGTACCACAAGCACGCCGAAGCAGCATGCAGGTAGTGCTCCGGAGAAAGGGAGCGCATACAATCACTCCAAGGCAGTGGATCCTGCACTACGCGCCGCTGAGTGTATGATGGCGGCTTACATTTGACTGTACAAGGCCAAGTCAGCAACTAACCGTTTTAGCGATTGTACGTAGTCGATCACACGTACTCTTTTTGCGGCGGCAATAGTCGCACGCGCGCTGCAGGACTTTGCGCCGCTTGGAGGCACCTGCGCGTGCGTCGGAGGGTCCGTCCTCGTCAGGCGAAGACATTGTGCGCTTTGTGTAAGCTGCGAGGTGTGTGTGGAGGGAGAGTCTGGGATGCCGGCGGCGAGTACAGAGCCAAGGAGCGGAGCCCCTTATGAGTCCCAATTCGAATGAACGATCGGCTGTGGCTGTGACCCTCTACGCAATCCCCACGGGCGCCTATCGGCTCGGACCGAGCTCTCTTTGGCTGCAACCGACTCGATAGATCGTCGCCTTGGGCGTACATATGCGCAGAGCACCGCCCACGCGGCTGCGCATTCATGCGGACGAGTGCGCAGCAGCGTAGGAGGCCTTCGAAAAGGCACAGCATAGCCCACATTGCGCTAACAACACCCTCGACAGCCTGCGGACCATCCTTCTTACACACGGACCGCCCTGCCAGGCTGCCGCCCATCAAAAAGATACGGCGCAGACACCCCGGTGGACGAGCCCCGGCGAGGTAGGCTGTGCTTTCCGACCACATTGCGCGTCGCTCGAGGTCATGAGCAGCCTTTGTGGCGAGCATCACATCGCCGTCCGCAGTCGACGTATCACCTTCTCGCTACGCCGCGGTGGGCTAGACGATGGTATGAGGGGGTAGGGGTGCGGAGGTCTCCTATGGCAGCGTAGTAATTTGATCTTACAGAGGAGACACCGGCGGGCGTTCATCAAGTGGCCGTACTCACCTTCGCTGCGGAGACTGCACGATCGACGCTGCCGCACGGTACCAGGAACTATACCGCGTACGCGAGCACGGCAATACGTCGCGGCATATCTCAGATCATACGCACGGCAACCTCGGGATGTTGGTACGTGATTTTATGACTGGTAATAACGTACATGGCTAAGATCACCATCTAACCACGCCGACACGGCAGACAAACCGATATACCACTACAGCCATGCGATAGCCAAAACAGGCGTTGAACTATCGCATCTTTCAGCCTTTTTTCAGGCTATCGCATCCTCTTCAGCAATTTGGACAGGCTATACCCTGACTATAGCAGCTGAGGGCTTCCGCCACTTGCCTGCCGTGCGAGGTTCCAGGCTAGAAGACGTACGAGGGTTGAGGGGGGACGCAGAGCGCGCCTGTGGGGACGTCGTAATTTGATTCTGCGAGGCAAACTGACATGTCCTAAACAGGTGACGGCAATCCGCTTCGACGTCGCAGCGACCCTCACTTCGAGACATCGTGGACGGCATAGATCTTCGGAGACGGCTCCGGATACCCGCCCAGGTCCCGCGGCGCTTCAAGACAAGGTAAGCGAGAGGTACCTCCGGGGCCCTTCAATCATTGTTCAAGCCATCAAATATCCCGCAGGCTGCATGGTTGACGGTGTCGCACGTTACCAGTAGCAGGGACTGTGGGGCCACGCGAACAAGACCACTCTGTCCGCAATTTCAAGCTCACACTTCAAGTCCACTACGACGCGGTGTTGTCGCAAGGTAGCCCTCTGTGGCGACGACAGGTGTAACAGTGCACATCCCACCATACTTTCTGAGTGAGCTTCTATCTTTCCGTTTGTTCGCTAAGCTAACACTGGCACTCCAACATCCTATACGTATTCCTCAATCTGACCGATAACTTGCAGGTGTTCTAACTTGCCACGCGCGTCGCGACGCCAATTGCTGTTGTCTCACTCCTTTGGACGTCCACCTCCCTCATTCTTGACGAGTTGCGTCCCTGCCGCATGGCTCCTCAAGTACGTCCATCATCCTCGCGACGTAGGCGCGTACTTTGTCTCCCTTGCACTTCGAGTTCGTCGATGCCTCCACTCCCTCTCCCACTGCGAACACCGCAGGACACGAGTACGTCTCTCGCGATATTCCCCTACCACGACCTCCAATTCAGTTTGGACCGCATCACTAATAAGCTTATGCCTCCATGCAAATGGTTTTCATCTGTGTGAGAACCGGTTGACCTCTTTCATTTATTGTGCCAGCTTCCCTTCGGGAGGAACATTTGTCCTCTGCCTCCAAAATTGAGGAAGGTACACAAACCCAGTGATGCCGCAGCACATCTCAGACCATATGCACAGCAACCTCGGGACGTTCGTACGTGAATTCATGACTGGCGATAACGTACACGCTCATACACACTCGCAGCCCGCCTGGCTAGCAGGGGGTACACTTCCTCTGTTCTCTCTCCATCCACTCTGCGCCACGTACTTCACGCGTCCTTGGCCCAGCTGACGGTTCGCTTTGAACGCGATCCCTGCAGAAGATACTCGTCAGCGATGCGAACCAATGGACTTCAAGCACTGTAGACATACGCGGATCTTCTCCTCGATCAGCTTCTTCAACGCCTCGAACTCCTTCAAGAGCTCCTCGTCGATCTGACTGGCGGTCTGAGTCTGCGAGGAGTCCGCCGCCGACGAAGACGCCGATGCCGCGACCGAAGTGCTGGCAGAGGCGGCGGCGGAGGATGATGCAGCCACGGACGACGACGCAGCGGCGGCGCTGGCTACAGAGGAGGCTGCCGCGGAAGAGCTTGCCACGGACGAAGTCGCGGCTTTGGTTGCCTTAGCGGCCTTGGTGGAACTCGATGCGGCGGGCGCAGAAGATGCGGCGGCAGCAGCGGTCGATTGGCTATCACCC